CCTAACATGGTATTAGAACCAACCCTAACATAGCCGTGTCAATAGAATCCTCAAGTGTCGAACAAAATGTGTACTTTGTTCGATAGCTCTAGAGAAAGAGTCGAGCCTTGTCTAAGGGAGGCTGTTTGAGAGCTCCATAGGCATCAGGGGAGGCTCTACGGTGTACTTTGTTCGAGAGGAGGATTGTTGAGGATTGCTGGGAGAGGAGTCCACATCGTGGAGTTTCATTATTCCTAACACGGTTTACCATTGCAATTATATTAACAATTTGGTGACGGTTGTAAGTATTGAACATAACTCTTGATGGAAAACATTCACACTCTTTATTAACATCAATCGAGAAGAGATTGCAAGACACTTTGTAGAATACTAATAAAATCACTTTATTTGAGACTGCTTGAGATTTCTTGGGATGAAAACCTTAGTACGGTGGACAATATTTATGGAAGAGACTAATAATTTGTTCCTAAAATATAGACAATTGACTCGTATAATTATTGTGTTTGACGCTAGTGATGATATTTTAACAAATAACCCATACTCTTACGTAAAAATAAAAAAAATTTGTCGGTTTTCTAAAACCGACGTCAGAAAGGTTATCCATCGTAGTTTGTAAAATGTTAAGTCACATCTAATACCCAAATTGTTTCAGTGATCGACTCTTTTAACTATGACGTTTTGAATTAATTTGGCTCCTTATGTATTAATGAATGTGTTTATCTTTAAAACTAAAACAAAATATAAACTAGAGACACACGTAATAATAATGCATGATGCATTATTTGACTGAACAACGTTAAAAAAGACAATTTTGCCTGGCTGTAACACAATGGATGCCCAACCAATTTTGCTTACTCCATTTCTCGTCTTCCTCTCTATAAATAACTTCTCAATTCAACTAAGAGTTGTATATACCAAAAGAAATAAACCATAATTGTTTGAATGGCGAAAGTTTGTTTCATTTTGGTTGTAACTACGGTGGTGGTGGTGCTTGGCTTTGCTGCCTCGACCGTGCACGGTCAAGGCACACGGCTCGGGTTCTACCGTGCCAAGTGCCCGAATGCTGAATCCATCGTTAGATCCACTGTCCAATCCCATTTCATGAAGGATCCCACTATCGCTCCTGGGTTATTGAGAATGCACTCTCATGACTGTTTTGTTCGAGGGTGTGATGCTTCTGTGCTTCTTGATGGTCCCGATTCCGAGAGGACGGCTGTGCCTAACCTTACTTTGAAAGGGTTTGAGGTCATTGACGATGCCAAGTCGCAGCTTGAAGATGCTTGCCCTGGTGTCGTGTCATGTGCTGATATTCTTGCTCTTGCTGCTCGTGACTCCGTTGTTCTGGTAGATATTATTGGATATAGTTTCTTATTTTATTGGTACCTTTTCGAAAGTCTTATTCAGAGTAAAGATATCAAGATTTTAATTTTAGAGCAATATATAGGAATATTCATAAACAAATCTTCACTTGGTTAGCTAGTTAGGGTTGTCTAACTTCGAGTATTTTTATCTAACTTAGATTAGCTAGTTAGAATTTCTTGTATTTTTGTCTACAATAGCGTTTTTCGTATACTACTGTATCCATTATTTCTTATAGTGTAGTTAGGGTTGTCTGACTTCGAGTGTTATATGTGTCAATTTCATTCATTCTTAAACATAGACGGGTGGATTAAGATGGGAAGTTCCGACCGGACGACGAGATGGCAGAATTTCATTGGTTTCAGAAGTGAACTTGCCAAGTTTTTCAGATTCCATTGAAGTTCAAAAAGAGAAATTTAGGGTAGTGGGTCTCGACACTCATGACCTCGTCACTCTCGCAGGTAAGACATGACAAGATTTTGTTGTTGTTGTTTTTTTTTAACTAAAAACTAAATCGTTATCAAACGGCGTGTAGGATCTCATACGATCGGAACGGCGTCATGTCGTTTTTTCAGTTACAGACTCTACAACTTCACGACCGCCACCAAAAGTGGCGCCGATCCAACCATTAACCCATCGCTTGTCGGTCGGCTACGAGAACTTTGCCCTGAAGACGGAGATGGCTCGAACCGAGTCGAGCTTGACATTGGTAGTCCCGAAAAGTTCGACCTATCGTTCTACTCAAACTTGAGGCGTGGGGGCGGGATATTAGAGTCCGATCAAAAGCTGTGGAACGATGACTCAACTCGGCCGACCGTCCGACACTACTTGGGTTCGAGGATTCTAAGGGGACGTTCTAGCTTTAGAGTTGAGTTTGGGAAATCAATGGTGAAAATGAGCAACATTGACGTTAAAACTGGCATTGAGGGTGAAATCAGAAGGGTTTGCTCCGAGGTTAATTGATGTGTGTTTAAGGTTTTAATATTCTATGTGTTTTTTTCAGTTTAATCCGTTGTGTCGGAGTTTGTTATAAAGTTCTTAATCCCTTTATGTTTCATGCATGACTTTTCTTTTAAAAACAAGGTCGTCATTGCATGAATAGTGTGACTAATGTGTACCGAAAACATTATTTTAAAACATTTCATAAAAGGTTTCTTGGACTTAACATTAAAAATAAATACCTTATTATAACGTTGTCATAAAATAGAGAGGCGGAATATACATGACGTGATTTTAAATAAAATAAAACAAGCCCTTACCTAACCTAACGGCTATGAAACAAACATGAACACAATTATCCTAACTCTAGTTCCATGACCTTCATTGCAACGTGTCATTTGTATAGAGGTGTCGTACTTTTACTTGAAAAATAAGAGTTGCACGTGGCTCGAGTATTTCTTAAAATATTCAATCATTAACCCCGTTGTTGGAATCAGGAAATCAATCCCGTACAATAGATGGAGCCTATTATTTTTAAAATATCATGGCTAGGCCTTAAGATGCTGCTTTCTATTGAGATTTGATCTAACAATCTTGTTGAAACACAAAATGTTTAGATTAAATTGTCGAAGAATCCCGAAAATTGTAACGACTCTAGATTTGTACTAACCATTTAAAACTTCATCATAAAACACTGTCATTGACTTATATGTTCAAAAGCATTTTTAAAACAACATAAGAAAATATCGAATAAAACAAATAAAACATTAAAAGTAAAAATGCCATATACTAACCTAAATCTAAGAAAATAAAATACCACCCTCCTATGCACGTGTCATGGTCTCTACTTGTGATGCCGTCGTCAGCTGTACAGGTGTCTTGCCTTTACCTCAAATAAAAGTAACACACGACTTGAGTATATTAAGAAATATTTAGTAAGTGACCCTCCTATTGAGGTCAGGAAATGCAAACACAACAACTAATGACTAGGAACCTACAGTTAAAATCATCATAGAGGTGGCCTCCAGTTCGGACAAAATTGTATGTATAGTACTTTCCTACACACGACCCACACGTGCGAGTATGTATGGTATCAGAGCTTCTTATTCTTAACATGATATCAAAGCTTCTTATTCTTAACATGGTATCAAAGTCTCATTTTTAACATGATATCAGAGCTTCTTATTCTTAACATGGTATCAGAGCCTTTTATTCTTAACATGGTTACGGGTATACATTCAACCCGATAACTCAACAATCCGAACCAATCCAACCCAAACTATAAGGGTTGGGTCAGGTTGGATTAGCATTTCGAGTAGGGTTGGGTTCATTTTTCTGAACCTAAACTGAATCGATTCGGTTTCAGGTTCGTGAGCAAAACTCCAGGTTGACTCTAGCCAAATAAAAATATGTTAACAATCCTTTCGTATTAATGGACTTGCCAGAATGGTACTGAGTCCAGTCTAAAGATATTCAAGCGATATAATTTTTTTTTATTATTTTGTTTAAATTATTTTTAATTTCTTTGTTTAGTTTCTTTTATATATATACATGTTTATTTTTATTTCTTTATTTAATTTCTTTTATATATACATGTTTCTTTTTATTATTTTATTATTTTGTTTAATTTCTTTTATATTAATATATAAATAATTTTGAAGCATACTCTAAATTATAATGCATTTATTATCTATCTTTTTTACTAGTTTAGGACGTCATTAAAAATATTTCAATCCAAATATATTTATATATTTTTTATTTTTGTTATATACAATACCTTTAAACTAATAACTAATAATTTTTATTGTTTATTTAATTTCATGATCTATACTTATATTTATGTTACTTTAATCAATTCTAAAAAAATGTCGGTATTTAGTTGTCATTAATTTTATGATAATGTTGAACTATGTTAATATGTTACCATTTTTACTCGTTGTTTTTTTATTGAATTTGTTTTTTTTTTCCAATAACTATAGATTGATTTGTGTTTGTCTGTGAACTTTTAATATATTTTATTTAAGATTATATCGAAATAATTATAAATTATGGATAAATAAAACTTAAAAAAAAACTTACAACCCAACCCAGACCCAACCCGAAAATAGAGGGTTGGGTTGGGTTTTGAAAAGTTTCGGGTTGGGTTGGGTTGGGTTATCGATCCAACCAAACTCGAACTTTTGGGTTGGGTCAAAAAAATCCCCCAACCCGACCCAACCCGATCCAACCCAGACTATGTACACCCCTAAACATGGTATGGGAGTCATCGTTCTTAACATAGTATCAGAACCATCATTCTTAACATCACATAATCATTTTGATTTCAAATCGTCGAAAAATCTGAATCGAAGAACGCGCTCAATTAGTTTGTTAATTCTAGGGGCTTACCCATTGTTTTGCATAGATTCTATGTTTACACAATTATTTTTTTTAAAAAGTTTGTATCCAACTTGGTGTTATAAAAAGTTATATTATAGTCTATTACACAAGTCAATAACATGAAGAACAAATAGAATCCAAAAGCTAAAACCTTCCCCAGATGCTAAACCCCTGGCTACCTACTTATCTTTGCCACTTGAGTAATTTTTAAGTACCCCATAACCCTAAATTAAGTAAAAAGGACAAAAGGTACCAAGTTGTAGGGTACTTTTCATGCATTGGGTTCCTCTTCTTTCCCTATATAAATACTCGTATCGACTCGATTTCTTCATCAACCAAAGAACCCGACTATCCCATTTCTCATTCATTGTCATTCTTAATGGGGAAACGAATTCATTTCATCCCAATTCTTGTTTTAATTGCTTTCGTGTCGTTGGTTGGCTCGATGGCTGCAACCCTAGTTCCAAGCCGAGGTACGCATGTCGGGTTCTACTCGACGACATGCCCACAAGTCGAGGCTATTGTTAGAGCAACTGTGAAGTCTCATTTTCAATTAGATCCAACGGTGGCTCCTGGGTTATTGAGAATGCACTTCCACGACTGCTTTGTACGAGGATGTGATGCTTCTGTGCTCCTTGTCGGTCCGAGAACCGAGAGAGCAGCACCGCCCAACCTCTCTTTAAATGGGTTTGAGGTTATTAACGATGCTAAATCTCGCCTCGAACGTGCTTGTCCTGGTGTTGTCTCTTGTGCTGATATTCTTGCCCTAGCTGCTCGTGACTCGGTGGTTTTGGTAAGGGCAATAGTAAGGTTATTTTGTGCAACTTTTTGGCATTACAACTTAGCTTTTGGCTTTGTAATTGTAGACAAAAGGAGTGAGTTGGGGAGTGCCGACAGGACGTAGAGATGGAAGGGTTTCGTTGGCTTTGGAGGCTAACAATGCTCTACCTAAGGTCAATGATACCATTCAAACTCAAAGGAAGTTATTTAAGAGCAAAGGTCTCAATATTCAAGATCTTGTCACTCTAGTTGGTAAGGATTAATCTTATAAACAAGTTGATTATACTAATAAAAAACTTTTTTCGTTTTTAAATTTTTAATATAATATCTATTTGGTAATCAAAATGGCGTTTGTAAATTTTAAAATCGAGAATAATTACTAGTTTATTCGAACCCGAGAAGAGTTTGTGGTGTGATATAGAAGTATTCATATGACTAAAAACTCGACCAACTCATACTACCGAACTCTGGGTAGATTTTTTTTTTTTTTTTTTGATATGGGTTTGGTTGAATATTTTGAAAAACGAAAATTTGATTCGTTTTGAGATTTTTTATTTATTTTTATCGGGTCAACTCAACCCATAAGAAAATAAAGTTATAACCTAACTCTATTTTACTTTTCAAAAAAATTAAGAATAATTAACGTTTATAACTAATGCTAGTAATGTTTCGTGACTTGTAAATATTTGATATTTAAAATTTATGAGATTTTAATTATTAACCGTGAATAAGTAGGTGCACATACGATTGGAACCACCGCATGTAGCGTTTTCAAATATAGGCTCTACAATTTCAGCACCACAAGGAATGGTGCAGATCCAGCCATGAACCCATCCTTTGTTCATCAGCTACGAACACTTTGCCCCAAAAATGGAGAAGGCTCACCCAATATTGGACTCGACATAAGCACTCCCAACCAATTTGACACATCTTTCTTCTCAAACTTGAGGAATGGGCGTGGGGTCTTGGAGTCTGATCAGAAGCTGTGGAACGATCCCTCGACTCGGGCTTTCGTTCGACGTTTCTTGCTCAAAGGTTCGTTGGGTTTGAACTTCGACCTCGAGTTTGGGAAATCTATGGTTAAGATGAGCAACATTGGAGTCAAGACGGGAACTCGAGGTGAAATTCGGAAGATTTGCACTATGGTTAACTAGTGTTTCTTATGCCATATGTGTTTTGGGTTTGTTGTCTTCATTGTTTTTGGTATTTATTGGTATAGATTTGTAAATTAAGGTTTTTTATTTTTTTGTCGAATAAAGGTAAGTAGTGAAGTTTTTATGATTGAACTGCTAAAACTGAACGAGTATTTTGCCAGTAAATTTTAATTTTTTAAGCTTTTTTTAGTCATTATATTTTTTAAGATCACTCTTATTTGAATAGTCGTCACTCTTAAGAAGAAACGTATTGGTAACGTGACTATATGACTGAGTAACGTGATCATAGTTGGAGAATCTACTTACTAAGGACATAGAATGTAATTATAACATAATTTAATAATATTTTGCAATGGGTTAAATGGTGAGAGGATACTAAGGTTGTGCCAACATAGTTTAATAATCGAGCATTTACCAATTTTTCATCACCAATAATTTCTCTTTTTTTGCTTTCTATATTTCATCATGGGTATAAAATGCTACAAAAATGAAAAGTGGACTGTGATGTCCCACATTGGCCGGGAAGGAGAACAAAACACCTTTTATAAGGGTGTGGGAACCTTCCCCTAGCCGACGTATTTTAAAGCCTTGAGGGGAAGCTCGAAAGAGAGCGCAAAGAGGACAATATCTGCTAGCGGTGGGCCTGGATTGTTACGAATGGTATTAGAGCCAGACACCGGACGATGTGCCAACCTTCTCACTGTTCCCCGAAAGGGGTAGACACGAGGCGGTGTGCCAATAAGGACGCTGGGCCCCAAAGAGGGTGGATTGGGGGGACCGGGGGTAGACATGAGGTGGTGTGCTAGTAAGGACGCTGGCCCCAAAGAAGGTGAATTTGGTGGGAGGGTCCCACATCAATTGGAGAAATAAACTAGTGCTAGCGAGGACGCTGGCCCCAAAGGAGGTGGATCGTGATGTCCCACATTGGTTGGGGAGGACTTTTTTCTTCTGTTTTAAGAAAACTCTCCCCTGGGGAGGTCTTTTTTCTTCTGTTTTAAGAAAACTCTCCCCTCGCCTTGTTCTGTATGCTTCTTTTATTTGTTTCGGTATATTTGGACCGCGAGACAAAACTCTCCCCTCAGCTTGTTCTGTAGGCTTCTTTTAGACTTCTATATACTTGTTTTATTTGTTTCGGTATATTTGGACCGCGAGACAAAACTCTGCCCTCAATTTGTTCTGTATGCTTCTTTTATTTGTTTCGGTATATTTGGACCGCGAGACAAAACTCTGCCCTCAGTTTGTTCTGTATGCTTCTTTTATTTGTTTCGGTATATTTGGACAGTGAGACAAAACTCTCCCCTCAGTTTGTTCTGTATGCTTCTATTATTTGTTTCGGTATATTTGAACAGTAAGACAAAACTCTCCCCAGTTCTATATGTTATTTTATTTGTTTCATGTATATTTCGACCCTGAATCATATTCAACAACTTTTCCACTATTAATCGGACGTATACATTATCCCTTTCATTGCAATTATGCAACGTAGAAAACACGAGAAATTAAAGTAGAAAAACCAGTTTTGTTTAGTTAACTACAGAACAAACTTTACGAATCTCTCCCTGAGTACCAGTTTTAACTTCAATATTACCCATCTTAACCATGGATTTCCCAAACTCAGCGTTGAAGGTCAAACCCAACAGCCCTCTCAAACCCAGAAAGCGTTGCACAAAAGTGCGAGTGGAGGCATCGGTCCATAGCTTTTGATCGGACTCCAAGATCCCACGTCCATTCCTTAAGTTTGAGAAGAAGGATGTGTCGAACCTGTTGGGGCTGCCATTGTCCAACCCAACCCTGCGGCTGCCGTCGCCGTTCTGTGGGCAAAGGGCTTGCAATTGGCTCACGAATGCTGGGTCGATGCTTGAATCTGGACCATTTGAAGTGAAGTTGAAGAGCCTGTAGCTGAAAAACTGGCATTGTGTGGTGCCAATGGTGTGTCCACCTGCTCCAAATAAGGGTTTTGTTATTGTTTTGAGTAATGTTTGTGATGAAGAATTGCAATGTTTTGAGATCATTCCAGCTCATGAGCAATCAAGATGTTAAAATATAAAGGAAAAATTGTCTTACTTGTATTACAAGTTTAATCTTTTGAAATTTTGTTGACTTTTATAGGTTTTTGAATTTTTAAATTTTGTGTGTTTAATCGAGTTTATTGTGAGATCCCACATTGGTTGTGGAGGAGAATGAAACATTGTTTACAAGGATGTGGAAACCTATCTTAGTAGACACGTTTTAAAAACCTTGAGGGGAAGTCTGGAAGGAAAAGTTGGAAGATGACAATATTTGCTAACGGTGGGCTTGGGTTGTTACAAATGGTACCAGAGTCAGATACCGAGCGATGTGCCAACGAAGAAGTTGAGCCTCGAAGGCGGTGGACATGAGGTGGATTTGGGGGTCCCACATCGATTTTAGAAGAGAAACGAGTGCCAACGAGGACGTTGGGCCCTGAAAGGGGGTGGATTATGAGATCCCACGTCATTTGGGAGAAAAATAAAACATTCTTTAAAAGGGGTGGAAACCTTTCCTTATGAGCCCTAAAAGGTGACCTTTCCCTATGAGCCCTAAAAGGTGGTGGATTGTGAGATCGCCCTAAAAGGTGACCTTTCCCTATGAGCCCTAAAAGGTGGTGGATTGTGAGATCGCACACAGATTGAGAAGAGAACGAAATATTCTTTATATGGGTGTGGAAACCTCCTCCTAACATACTCGTTTTAAAAACCTTGATCCTCGAAAGGAAACATTTTCTTATAAGGGTGTGGGAACCTCTCCCTAGCAGACGTGTTTTAAAAACCTTGATCCTCGAAATGAAACATTTTTTATAAGGGTGTGAAAACATCTCCGTAACAGACGCGTTTTAAAAACCTTGAGCCCGAAAGCAAACATTCTTTATAAGGGTGTGGAAACCCACGTTTTAAAAACTTTGATAGAATCGAAAAGAAACATTTTTTTTTATAAGGGTGTGAAAACCTCTCCCTAACCGACGTAAAAGCCTAAAAAACACAGTTCAAAGAAGACAATATCTACTCGTGGTGGGCTTAGACGGATACATTTATGATTTTTATATACTTATATTGGTCAAACCCACTCGAGTTTTAGGGATTAAACTTAGCTTGTTTAATGCAATAACAAAGAGATATGTATATGGTCTTACCCACGAGAGTAACAAGATCTTGAGTGTTGAGACCCTTATCGCTGAATTTCTTCTTTTGAACATCAATGGAGTCAGTAAATCCAGGTAAATCGTTAGCTTCTGAAGCCACTGAAACCGTGCCATCCCTTCGTCCTGTGGGCACACCCCAACGCAATCCACTTGTCTACATCCAACCAAATAAAGTTATCATCAAAATGACCTCACCCACACATGCATGCAAACCAATCATTATCAAAATCAGATACATGGGTCCTACCATAACCACCGAGTCACGAGCCGCAAGCGCAAGAATATCGGCACAAGATACAACACCAGGACAAGCAGCTTCAAGCTGCGTCTTGGCATCGTCAATCACCTCAAACCCTTTTAACGAAAGGTTCGGAGGTGAAGTCCTCTCGCTATTGGATCCAGCTAGGAGTACAGAGGCATCACAACCTCGAACAAAGCAATCATGGAAGTGCATTCTCAACAACCCAGGTGCGATCGATGGATCGGATTGGAAATGAGATCGAACGGTAGATGCAACGATGGACTCGGCTTGAGGGCAAGAGTTGGAGTAGAAACCTAAGCGAGTGCCTTGGCCATGCACGACCGGGGTCGTGAAGGTGAGTAGCACCACCGCTATCGAGATAGCGAGAACGAGCATTGGACTATAACCCGATTTCGCCATTGGATAAGAGAAGAGAAGAGAATGAGAGGTTTGTTTGTGATGAAGTTTGCATGGAAATGAGAAGGTTTTTATAGAGTGATGGGAGATTGAAGAGTCAAAAGTGGAGTAAGCAAAGCCGGCTTGAGAGGGTGATGGGCTACAGCGATGCAACGTTGTCGTTTTGAGGGATTGTTGGATTAGTCAAAGAAATGGATTATTATAATTCCGCGTGGGACAGACACATAACTGGGAAGTAACCAATTTTTTCAACACGAAGACTGAATCAGCCATTGTGTTGGGAAAGTGACAAACGACATGTCGGATTTCCACATCATGGTTAATGGTTTTCTTGTTTAGTACCCAAAATCATCACTTAAAATCATATTATCTCCTCAATTTCTTGTGGAATCCAGCTAAGGAAGAAGTGTTGGGTGGCTATCCACAAACATTTGAGCTCTTTTAGGGTTTGGTTTAAACAAAACAAAACGATAATAGCATGATTGGATCTGTAATATCCTAACCTCACCGCTAGTAGATGTTGTTTTTTCTTAGACTTTTCCTCTAGATTTTTGAAACGTGTCTATAAAGAATGCTTCGTTCCCGTCTCCAACTGATGTGGGATCTCACAATCTATCCCTTCAGGTGTGATGATGTCCCACATTGGTTAGGGAGGAGAACAAAACACTATTTTATTAGAGTGTGGAAACCTTCCCCTATCAGACTCGTTTTAAGGCCCTGAGGGAAGCTCGAAAGGGAAAGCCCAAAGAGGACAATATCTGCTAGCGGTTGATCTGGGCTGTTACAAATGGTATCAGATCCAAATACCAGACGATGTGTCAGTTTTCTCGCTGTTTCTTGAAGGGGGTAGACATGAGGCGGTGTGCCAGTAAGGACGTTGGGCTTCGAAGGGGGGTGGATTTGGTGGCGGTCTCACATCGATTGGAGGAAGGAAAGAGTGCCAGCAAGGATGCAAAGAGTACAATATCTGCTAGCGGTGGATCTGGGCTGTCACATCAGGACCCAACGTCCTCACTGGCACTCGTTTCCCTCTCCAATTGATATGGGATCTCACAGGGTCGGTAATGGAGAAATTATTTGATGAAACTACTACGATATCACGGATGGTTTTTTATTATTCGATTATTAGGACATTACGAGATACGTCTTTTTAAATTTGCATCTAATAATTTTATGAGGCAAGCATATTATAGTTAATATTTGGAAATCGATTTGAGGAAACAATGTTATAGACTCGCATCCCTTTATAGTACAAATCAGCTTTGACAGACCTAAACCTGATTTTGACGAAACAGCACACCCTGAAC